AGTTGCTGTGGTGAGTGGAGATTTATAAGGGAGGAACAGAATGTTTGTTTCATTACAGTGAGGGCCAGGTTCTTATTACATCACAAACAATTTGTAGTAGATCCCATCAGCATAGTTTAATGATTCTCTCCAGCTTTATTCCTGAATTCCCATACACAAAGGAGCAAAGGCGTAGGTGTATGAGGTATCCAGGGTGGTAAGGTATGATCCATGATAGGATGAGGAATCTGCTTTAGCATGAGGACAAGAGATGGGGAAGAGAGAAAGACTATGATTCAGACCTGAATTCATCTAGGAAGGATGGTTGTGCCCTTGATAGTAATAGGGAATTTAGGTGTGTGTGTGTGTGTGTGTGTGTGTGTGTGTGTGTGTGTGCATGTAGCTTTAGGGGAAAAATAATTGGAACTAATCATAGGTGTTGAGCTTTCCAAGAAAGAGAGTAGAGAGGGAAGGTCAGGAGAGAGCCTTGGGATGAACTCAGAATAAAAGGATAAAACATAGATAATGATCTAGTAAAGGAGACAAAAAATAGTCAGACAGCTAGGAAGAGAGCCAAGGGAAGAGAATATCCAGGAAGAAGGGTGTTCAATCATGTCAACGGCTGCAAAGAAGTTAATAAGAATAAATACTGAGCAAAGATTTGGCAATCCAGAGATCTTTTTTTTTTTACTTTTAAGAGATCAGTTTGAGTGATAAGGTTGGAAAGCAGAAAATCAAAGGGATTGAGAAATAAGTGAAGTCAAATCAATAAACATTTATTAAGCACCTACTATGTGTCAGACTCTGTGCCAAGTGCTGAGGGTACAAAGACAAAAACAATCCTTGCTTTTAAGGCTCTCACAATTTAATGGGGAAGACACTATGCTGACAGTTATATACAAATAAGCTATATCCAGGATAATTAGAAAATAATCAACAGAGGGAAGATGCTAGAAGAAGAAGGATTGGGAAAGGCTTCCTGTAGAAAATGGAATTCCAGCTGGAACTTGAAGGAAGCCAGGGAAGCCAGGAGGCAAAGATGAGGAGGGAGAGCATTCTAGGCCTGAAGGACGGCCAGTGAAAAAAGGGCAGCTAAGTGATCCTAGAGTCAGGAAGACCTGAGTTCAAATAGGGCCTCAAACACTTACTAGATGGGTGAGCTTGGGCAAATCACTTAACCCTATTTACTTCATTTCCTGAACTGTCAAATGGGGATAATATATAACACCCATCTCACAGGCTTATTGTTAGGATCAAATGAGATAATATTTGTAAGGCACTTAGCATAGTGCTTGGCACTTAGTAGGTGCTATATAAATGTTAGCTATAATTGTTGTTATTGTTATAAAAATGCCAGGAGTCAAGAGATGGAGTGTCTTTTTGAGGAACAGCAAGGAGGTTATTGTCACTGAATCACAGCTACTGGGATGGTAATAGAAGGTAAGACTAGAAAGATAAGAAGGGGCCAGGTTTTGGAGGACCTTAAAAGACACAGCAAAGACTTCATACTTGATCCTGGAGGTAATAGGAAGCTCTACAGTTCATTGAGTACAGGGGTGACATTGCTGAGACTTATATTTTAGGAAGATCACTTTGATGCTCAAGTATCTCAAGGCAATAATGAATAAAAAATATATGAAGGTAATGGACCAGACTGGTGTTCAAATTCAGCCTCAGGCACTTCACAGCTATGTGACCCATGGCAAGTCACTTACCTTTCATTTGTCTTAACTTTTTTCATCTGAAAAATGGGGATAATAATATTAACTATTTCCTAGGATGGTTGTGAGGATCAAATGAGATAATTTGCTTATAAAGTACTCTGCCATCCTTAAATACAAATGCAAGCTATTATCATATTGTTGTTGCTACTGTTGTTATTCTTTTTGTTAGCACTAGGGGAGAAAGAGCATAGTGATGTCCTCCAAAAAGGTCTGGACTTATGAAGATCAGGGTTTAAACATTCTGCTATTGACACTCACTTGTTAGCAGCTATTTACCCTAATTCTGGGCAAGTCACTTAACCTCACATAGACTTAGTTTCTACTCCTCCCATAAAAAGGGAATAATGATAATATTGGAAGGTCAGATAATGAAGCTGAAGCTGAAATAATTTGACCATATAATGAGATGACAGGACTTATTGGAAAAGACCCTGATGTTGGAAAAGATTGAAGGCAAAAGGAAAAGGGGATGGCAGAGGATGATTTGGAGATGTAAGTGTCAATGAACATGATGTTGGACAGACTTTGAGAGATAGTGGAGGATAGAAGGGCCGGTGTGCTATGGCCCAGTGGGTCACAAAGGACATTCAGGACAATACTGAATAACAGAAAATGATAATACTACTTCTTGCCCAGGATTAGGGAAAGGACCATGTAGGCAATGTTTGTAAAGTACCTTTGAAATCTTAAAATTCCATGAAAATGTCAATCACTCAGCAAGCATAAACAAGCATTTACGGTATGCCAGAAAATGTGCTGAGTGCTGAGGATACAAAGATGTCTTACAGAAGGTAAGATTTGTAGGAAGCCAGGGAAGCCAGGAATTGGAGATGAGCTAGGAGGAAGTCCTAGGCAAGGAGGGGAGCTAATAAACACACTCAAAGTTGGGAGATGGAACAACCAAGAGACCAGTGTCATTAGATTGCAAGGTACTTGTCAGGGAGGAAGGTCTAAGAAGACTGGAAAGGTAGGAAGGGGCAGATTATGTAGGGCTTTGAATGACAAACAAAGCATTTTGCATTTGATCTGGAGGTCATAGGGAGCTACTGTAGTTTTTTGAGTGATCAGACCTGTGCTTAGGAAAACCATTTTGGTGTCTGAATAGAGGATGGACTGGAGTGGGGAGAGACGGAGGCAGGCAGACCCCCCAGCAAGTATTACAATAGTCCAGACATGAGGTGATGAGGGTCTGCACCAAGGTAGGGCCAGTGTCAGAGGAGAGAGGGTGTATATGAGAGATGCTGCAGAGGTAAAATCAGCAGGCCTGGGCAACAGCTTGGATATGGGGGTGAGAGAGAATTAGGAGTCCTGGATGACTCCTAAACTGGGGACCTGAGAGTATGGTGGTGCCCTCTACAGCAATAGGGAAGTTGGGGTAGGGAAACATAATGAGTTCTGTTTTGGACATGTTGCGTTTCAGATGCCCACTGGACATCCAGTTCCGAAGTGCCTGAAAGGTAATTGGAGATGGGAGATTGGAGGTCAGCAGAGAGTTTGGGGCAGGAAAGGTAGGTCTGAGAATCATTACTATCAAGATAATAGTTGAATTTATGGGAGCTGATGAGATCACCAAGTGAAGTAGTCTAGAGGGAGAAGACCAGAGGCCAGGCAGAGCCCTAGGGGATATGTATGGTTAGGGGGCATGATGTGGAGGAGGATCCAGCAAAGGAGACAGAGGAGGAGTGGTCAGAGAGAGAGGAGGTGAATGGGGGGAGGGGGAGTATCCTGAAAACTTAGAGATTATCAAGGAGGAGAAGGTGATGAGCAGTGACAAAGGCCGCAGAGAGGTCAAAGAGACTGAGGACTGAGAAAATGCCATTGATTTTGGGAACTGAGAAGTCATTGGTAACTTTGGAGAGAACAGTTTTGGTGGAATGCTGAGTTTGGAAGCTGGATTGTAAGGGGTTGATTATAAGGGAGTTAAGGGAGAAGTGGAGGCATCCATTATAGATGACCTTTTCAGGGAGTTTAGCCATAAAGGGCAGAAAAGGTAGGGGACAAGAGTTAGCAGGGATGGAAGGATCAAGTGAGGGGATTTTTCAGGGTGAGGGAGACAAGGACATGTTTGTAGGCAGTAGGGAAGGAACCATTAGACAAAAAGAGTAAGGATGATAGAGGAGGCAGTCGGAGGAGACAGGATGGAATGGAATTGCTTGAGCAGATAGGGAAGGGACAAGGTAAGACATGCCTTGGTAAAGAGTAAGGCCAACTCATTGCATGAGACAATTGGACCATTGGAACTCTGGGATGTACTGAGCCTTGAGTAGGCAGCCTGGGACCTTCAAAGAACAAAGTGGAGGTGGGGGAGGTGGACACTGCAGGAGGGCAAGTCCTAGAGAAGTCATTACTGGAAGGGACTTTAGCTTTCCAAAGAGAGGTCAACAGAACAGGAGCACTGCAATGTCCTGCCACGCTGAGAAGGCTTCAAATACAGGCCTGTAGGGTTACTAACCATATGTCTATCTGTCTATCTGATTACATAAGCATATGTGTTTTTGTTGTTGTTGTTGAGTCATTTTCAATGATGTCTGACTCTTTGTGACCCCATTTGGGATTTTCTTGGCAAAGATACTGGAGTGGTTTGCCATTTCCTTCTCCAGCTCATTTGACAGATGAAAAACCTGAGGCAACCAGGATTAAATGACCTACCCAGGGTCACACAGTTAGTAAGTATCTGAGGCCAGATCTGAACTCAGGAAGATGAATCTACCTGACTCCAGGCCCAGTCCTGCGTCCACTAGGCCACCTAGCTGACCCCATGGAGATATACATATATACATATGCATACACATACACATACATGTATGTATGTATCTATAATATCTATGTCAGGATCTGGATCTATATCTATGGGTCTTGGTTCTGCTTGCTATGTCCTGGTTCATCAGCAGGCTGGCTGTGGAGTGATGAATTGGGGCAGGAAAAGGTTAGGGTTTTCACAGGCAAGCTACTGAGTACTGGGGGTGGGGAGAGGTGAGGTTTGTATGGATGGAGGCAGTGCCCATGTTGACAAAGTCGTGGATCCTTGAAGTGTTGATACCAGAAAGAGGATGTTACTCAGAAGCTAATTCGTTATCAGAATGAGGATGACCTTCTGCTTGCCAAGACCCCAAAGCACAATAAATGTGTTTTACTCTGGGGGTTCCCCTTGCCCCCTGTACATGAAGTCATGTGTCAGTGACATTCTAAGGTCCAATGAAGTGGGCCCCCTTATCCCATTCTTCCATAAGGCTCAATTCAGTGTTTTGCTTTTTTCTTTTAAATTAACAAGCATTTATTCCTCACCCCCCCCCACTGAAAAATATGGAACACTTCACATATTTGAGTGTCATCCTTGCACTAGGATCAGGCTAATTTGCTCTTGGTTGTTTTAATTTTAGTGTGAGTGCTCCTCAATGTTTTACCAATGGATTAGAGAAAGAATCACTCCAGGCTGCTTTAAATAGGGCAGTGTGTGTGTGTGTGTGTGTGTGTGTGTGTGTGTGTGTGTGTGTGTGATTCCATTGAAATTGGGTACAGAAAACATTCCAACTGTAAGAACTCTGATCAACCCAATGACCAGCCAGGATTCTAGATAACCAATGATGGAACAAGCTGCCTACCTCCTGCCTGAGAGGTGATAGACTCAGGGTGCAGAATGACACATTTGGACATGGCTAATGTGAGAATTTGTTTTGCTGGACTATGAATATTTCATACAAGGGCTTTGTCTTTTTTTTTTTCTTTCTTCAATGGTAGGGGTGCTTGGGAAAGAAAACTGATTTTTGGTCATTGAAAAAAAATAAAATGTAATTTTTAAAAACTGACCAACAAGAAGAAATGAACTGTCTCTGGAAGAGAAATATGTAACCTCAAGTAAAAGATTACTGACCATTTGTTTTCACCTACAGAGAAAATTCTAGGGAAAGAGAGTGTCAGAAGTCCTTAAGAGGTAAAATCCAGTCCCTACTTTCTCCATGACAAAAATCTTTTTGACAATTCCTGCCTTTCAAACTTGGATGAACAAGGGCCCTTTTCACTATCTGCTCTCCCCTCCCCTTACCCTCGACCCTATAGTTGGGCAAACAAATGTGCCAGAGCTGGGGAAGGCTAATCTTTGAGGAGGAGGCAACAATTTCACCTTCTGCCCAAGTCACATGGGTGTTCACTTTGTATTCGATTCTTTTCCTGCAGAAAGAATATAGACTAAACTGGCTCACTTTCCTTTTCTTTAAAAACCTCTTTCAAATCCCATTGGTTTAAACTGATTTACAGGAAATTTCAGCCTCACTAGTCTGTGGTCTTTGCTGAGTATAAACAATCTCAGAGAGCAATTATGTTCAGTTGGTATGATTGTTTGTTTCATCATTTCAAATAGTACCTTTGAACCATTCCTGTAACATCTGTCTGAAATACCCTCAGCGTTGAGTGTCATCAAGTAGAGTAGAGTCACTTTGGGAAAACTCGTTCTCAGTGATATAAATCTCTAGGTTATCCTATGTATCCTAGAACAAGAAAGCAGAACTTTTATTCCAAACAGATGAAATAAAAAATCAAGTGCTTTGGCCTTTATCTGATCCAAGCTCTAATTCAAAACTTAACTCTTCATCAGTGCGTACTTTTCAGTAACTTAATTTTCCATTCTCTGACTTTTAAGGAATAACAATGGAAAGGCAAAAGCATGCAGATGTTCATGAAGATAGTCAAATGAGTCCTAGTCCAATGAGAAGACTGGAGGACCTCTCCTGTGTATTCGTATCTGCTGATTGCCACTGCTCTTTAATCTTTTGGCATTGCCAATGGTGGTAGTTGAAATCCTAATCACTGATAATTTAAAAAAAAAAAAACTTCAGCTGCAAATGAAAGTCCTAACAATCCCTCACAGCCCCTCAATAGGTAGAATGATCAGAATTCATTCTGTTGCTCACTCTTCAATTGGATGTTCTGGGACAAGAGGGTGAGGGACCTGAGATGGCATAATTATGAATATCTCTAATCCAAAACTGGGCTTTATCAGTTCATACAAGAGGTTCAGAGTGCCTTTCTGGTTTAAGAAAACTGTTGTTCCATCAGGAAATAGACATGCCAAGGAAAGAAAAAAGCAATGATGAGTCAAAGCAAGCTCTTTGATGCATTTCAAGTCTTCTTCTCACAGAATGTAACCGCTACCCCCCCACAGTCAGAATCTTGGAAACTGGATCTGTTACCTGACTGGCAGAGGGGTCCAAGGTATAAGGGCTTTTCCCATCTTTAACTCCTACTCTCTGATTAAAAAGGACCTGAGGGGCAGCTTGGTGGTAAAGTGGATAGAGCACTGGCCCTGGATTCAGGAGGACCTGAGTTCAAATCTGGCCTCAGACACATGACACTTACCAGCTGTGTGATCCTGGGCAAGTCACTTAACCTCACTGTCTAGCCAAAAAAAAAAAAAAAAAAGGACCTGAAACTGGTTCCCCTTCTGCCATCAATAGACACAGGATGGATGAATGTTAATGGTCATCACCTAAGAGAGTACACCATATTTGTATGAAACATCATTACCTGGGTTGGAGCAGGGAGCCACTGGAGAGGGAGACAGAAAGTTAATAGCTGTGTGACCATGGACAAATTGTTCCATCATCATTGTAACAGTTAACATTTACATAGTACCTTCCATGTACCAGGCACTGTGCTACATGGTTTACAATTAATATCTCATTTGAGCTTCACAACAAGCTTGGAAGATAGGGGCTATTATTATCCTCATTTTACAGATAAGGAAATTGAGGCAAACAGAGGTGAAGTGACCTTTCTGGGATTACATAATTGATGGATGTCTGAGGTCAAATTTGAATTCAGGTCTTCCTGACTCCAGGCCCAGTGCATCCATTGGACCACCTAGCTGGAATAAAGTGAGTTCAGTTTTGCAAAGGTTAAATTTAAGATGCCTATGGGACATCCAGTTCAAAATGTTTAAGAGGTAATTACTGATGTAAAACTGGAGTTCATGGGGAAGGGTTAGGTCAGGATAGATACATTTCAGAATCACTAGCATAGAAATGTTCATTGAACCCATGGGGGAATGGTACAGAGGGAGAAGAAGGCCCAGGATAGGGCCCTAGCAGACACCCACAGTTACTGGGTTTGGCCTGGATGAAGAACCAGCAAAGGAGAGGGAGTGATCAGACACGTAAGAACCAGGCAAGGGTGTCTAGGAGGAGAGGATGATCAACTAGCATTGGAGGCTGCAGAGAGGTCAAGAAGGATTGAGAAAAGGTCATTGGATTGGACAACTAAAAGATCATTGGTAACTTTGAGGAGAGTGATTTCAGTTGAATGATGAGGTCAGAAGAATGTAGAGAATTAAGAAGAGAGTGAGAGGAAAGGAAGTAGAGTCACCAATTGGAGATGGCCTTCTCAAGGAGTTTAGCCACACAAGGGTGGGCAGATATACAATAGCTACCAGGGAAGGAAGGATCAAGTGAAGTTTTTTTTTAAAAAATTTATTTATTTTGAATTATCAACAATCACTTCCATATGCTTTTGAGTTTTAAATTTTTCTTCCCCTCCCTCCCCAAGATGGAGTGCAATCTGATATAGGCTATACATATACATTCCTATTAAACATATTTTCACATTAGTCGTGTTGTAAGGAAGAATTAGAATCAATAGGAGGAACCACCAGAAAGAGGAAACAAAACACAACAGAAGAAAAAAAAAAGCAAATAGTATGCTTCAATCTGCATTCAAACTCCATAGTTCTTTCTTTGGATGTGGATAGCATTTTCCATCAGGAGGCCTTTGGAGATGTCTTAGATCCTTGTATTGCTGGGAAGGATTAAGTTTATCAATATTAGTCATCACACAACATGGCTGTTATTATGTATACAGTTCTCCTGGTTCTACTCACTTCACTCAGCATCAGATCATACAAGTCTTTCCAGGTTTTTCTGAAGTCAGCCTGTTCATCATTTCTTATAGCACAATAGTATTCCATCACATTCATATACCACAATTTGCTCAGCCATTCCCCAATGGATGGGCATCCTCTCAATTTCCAATTCTTTGCCACCACAAAAAGAGCTACTATAAATATTTTGGTACATGTGTATCTTTTTCCCATTAGTATGATCTCTCTGGGATACAGCCCTGGAAGTGCTATTGCTGGGTCAAAGGGTATACACGTTTTTATAGCTCTTTGGGCATAGTTCCAAATTGCTCTCCAAAATGGTTGGATCATTAAGTGAGATTTTTTTTTGAGAATGAGGGAAATGTGATCATGTTTGTAGGCAGTGGGATGCTTATCCAGGAGATAGGGAGAGATTGATGATTAATGCAAGAGTGGGAATGATAGGGGGGATAATCTGCTGAGATAGAATGGGATTGCTTGAACAGGTAGAGGAGTTGACCTTGGCAAGGAATAAAGCCATTTCATCATGTGAGATAGGTGTGAAAGGCAGAAGGGTAGAAGGTATCTGAGTGGTAGGAAGATCTTCAATGTAAATGGCCTTAATTTTTTTTTTTGGCTTTTTGGTGAGGCAGTTGTGGTTAAGTGGCTTGCCCGGGGTCACACAGTTGGAAAGTGTCATGTGTCTGAGGCCAGATTTGAGGCCTCCTGACTCCAAGGCCAGAGCTCTATTCACTGCGCCACCTAGCTGCTCCCATAAATGGCCTCAATTTTTTCAGTATAAAAGGAAGTAAGCATCTCAGCTGAGAGGGGGATGGAGGGGGAGCCACGAGAGGTTTGAGGAGGGATGAGAAGGTTTGGAAGAGTGACATAATAAGTTGATAACTCAGGTAGAGTAGGATTGTCTGGCAGCAGTGAGGGCCCAGGTGGGACCCTCCACTAACCCAGCTAGTAGTTTAGCTGTTTGGATCCTATTATCTATATAACTATTGTTTCTCCTATTTTTTTTATCTGTACTCCAAGCACAGCTACAATTCATGGCTAGGTTGATACTTCATGAATGATTCTTAATTGCTTGTTTGAAAATGCCACTGATGGTTGACCAAGAACCTCTGCTCCATCACTAGCCAAGTCACAATTTCTGCAGCCCTGTTTTAATACTCTTTGCCCTAATAAGTATTGGCCAGTGATCATAGACCACTAGCTTACAATATTGTTTTACCTAGACAATTAGCTTACCCATAGTTTTGTGTGTGTGTGTCAGTGTTTGTGTCTGTGTCTGTGTCTGTGTCTATGGCCATGTGGTGGATTAAATTATAACAGACAAAAGAAACCCAAGTAGCAGAGGATCTTCTGCCATACTGAATAGCATCAGCAAATAGGATTTCCATTTGTGACAGAGGAGGTATGGTGCAGTGAATATAAAGGAAGGAAGGAAACAAACATTTCTTAAGTGCCTACCATGTGCCAAACACTGTGCTAAGTGCTATATAAATTTGATTTCATTTGATCCTCACAACAATGCTGGGAAGTTGGTGC